CGGGAATAATCACTGTGGCTTTTATTTGCGTAGCAAGTGTCAGATAGTTGTCAAAATAATTACCTAATTGTGTCAACGCGATATATAAAATGGGTGAAAATCATCGGTTTAGTACCTTTTCTGATGCAGAAATAACAAAAAAGATTGTAGAAACTACTTCGAAAAATACTCTAATAAGTAATCAGTCTATATGGAGACAATTTAAGACCTTCACCAAAGAAAGAAATTATATTCTGGATCAATCTACTACAACAGCTACTCTGGCATTGATTTTGAAAGATTGGGCTTATAACATGAAAAGAAAAGACGGAAATGATTATAAAGAAGCAGTAATAAAGACAATGTGGAATAAAACGGCAAAATTAGTTCAAGAACTTTACTTTAATAAGTATAACAGGTCCTTTGATCCTTTCCATGATATAGAATTCAAAAATGCTCGAAATGCAAGAGATGCAAAAAGAAAAATTTTACAAAAACATCCTGAAAAGCACAAACAAAGTTCTGTGGCACTTTCTAATACAGAATTGTTGCAAATTTTTAACTATTGGGACGAAGATACACCTTGTGGATTGCAAAGAAAGTTTTTTCACGTTGCATCGTATGAACTAGCTTGGAGGGGAGGAGAAGCTACGAAATGTTTAGTTCATTATTTTAAAAAAGAAACCGACATAATAAGATTAAATACTGGCCGCATTGAATACAATCCCATCTTTACAAAAACTGCACAGGGTGGAGCACAAAGGTGCGCTAATAGTAAATGGTTGACTCCAAACATAAATAACCCAGATATTTGCCCTGTTCGTCTTTTTGAAAAACTAATGGGTAAACGTGAAGAAAATATTAAAACCGAACGCTTGTTTCTTACTCCAAATCCGGCTTGGCAAACTCATGGTTCTTGGTATAAAAACGTTCCTGTGGGAATAAATTCCATTTCAAAATGGATGAAAGAATCCGCAGAAAAAGTAGGTCTAGACACAGTTACTAAAAAAATAACTAACCATTCTGCCAGATCAAGTGCAGTAAGTAACCTTTCAAAAGCTGGTGTAGGAGAACAAGAACTAATCAAGGTCACTGGTCATAATTCTGCAAGTTCGATTAAACCATACTTACAATTGAACCAAGAACATCATTCAAATATAATAAATAATCTTAGAGAAAATACGCAGGAGGAAACACTTAATATAACAAGCAATTCCAAATCCTCAATAAATAATGACTCGAAATATTTTTAATAATTGCGTTTTTCATTGTACTAATTTAAATTGTTAATTCTTTTAATATATTCACAATGTGTCAACGATATTTTCGTATATTGTAATAATTAATTAAATTAAATTTTTCAATAGTTTTATGATAGTTTTATTGATCTTTTTTATTGTAAAAATTTGTGAATCAAAAAATAATCTAGTCAAATATAACTTGCGAGTTCCATAAATTAGAAAATAATTTGACAGATTTTGTTCAAACTTGTTGCCATTTGGAAATAGCCACTCGAGCCCTGCGGGCTCTCGTGACTATTGCCTGGCAACAAGTTTTCAAAAAATCTGTCAAATTACTTTCAATTTATTCTCACTCTCTGGTTATATTATTACTGAGCATATGTCGTTAAAAGGGAATTTCGCCTTGTAATATTAAAATTAGGCTTACATAGACGTGGAACAATCATCATAAAGCATTGATAATGAAAAATAACTAGTTTGGGTTACTAAGCTAGCTTATGAACTAAGCAGATGAAGGGACGTTTGTGAAATATTTTAGGGCCGGTTTTTTTGCTGGTGAGTGTATATAAAATCAAGAAAATCAGCACAAGCAGGAATTTTTATAAGTATCACATTTTTCCTCTTTCGAGGGACACATTATACAGGGTATTAAATAAAAATTAAATAAGTTCCTATTGTGTCCGAAAATGCATCCTTTTGTTTTTAACAAAAAAATCATGAAATTTTTTCTTGTTGGACGAATAGTTTTGTGGTTATTTCCGATTTATCCAGCCACAGGTTTATTTTAAATGTAACTTAAAAATGGCTTGGTTTTCGAAATTTCAACACATCGTTTCTCAAGAATAAAGCGTTTTATTTATATGAACCTTTTTTTAATGTAAAATCTACCCTTAAAGTATGTCATTAACACCCTGTACATCAAATTTAAATTTTCCTAATATAGTCTAAGAAAATCGTAAACAAATTTTTAGTTTCTTTTGAAAAATTTGTTTCTGAAATAATTTCTGCAAAACTTGTCAAAAGCTAAATTTTCCAAAGTCATGAAAATATCGGTATTAGGTGCCAAAGGCGTAACTTAGACAACTCACCTTTGCGTCCCTAGACACAAGTGGCAATGCAGTTTTCTGCACATGTTCCCTGTATACCATCTCTTTCGCCAGTGCTGTATTACAATCTCCGGTAATGATTTCGTACTCTCCATCATCAGCCTTCACTGTTTCTTCAACTGTGTCCGTTCCATGTACAAAATGTGCTACGACACAAACTACTAAAATAACTACTAAAGAGAGGCAACCCATATTGTTCATAGCACTGTTATTGTTATACTATTTTGTATTCTCAATATTACAAAATTTATATTTATATGTAGGTATTGTGTTTTATCTTCATCAAATGATTCTCAAGTAATTGAAGAATACACAGACATAAGTGTTTATTTACATTCGATAACATTGAGGAAAAAAAGAGATATTCATCAACGAAGTTTCCTGGAAATTTTACACATCATATTTGAGAGAGAAAAATCCTATATTGCAAAGTGATACTTAAGATATAAACAATTAGAATATAATCTAATTAATTAATTGAAAGTCAATACACAGTCAATAAGGTAATTTTGATCCATTAGTGTTTTTAAATTCAAAATGTATTTTGATAGCACTATAATTCAAAAGTAAAAGATAAACAGTGGTCAAAGAAGATTCCTGATAAATTATATATTGCAGGTAGTACAAATTTAAAAATAGAATACAAAGTAAGTGATAAATCTAAAGACCGTGAGTAGATCGTACATAACATAATAATCAGGACCAGTTCGGGATACCGCGTTGATATGACGCATATAGGAAGCAAAGGAACAGAGCTAACAAATATCTCATTGGATAAACAATACTGTCCATTGTTATAGACACTATGAAATAAAATTTAACAAGGGTACAGGAGCATAGTTTTCTTTTCCGTCGTCAAAAAATGTATTTGAATGAAAAAAATTATCCTCCTGTGTCTGCAGTCTACAGAGAAAACGATGGCATATTTAAAATATTTGAAGTGAAATCAGTGGTATAAGTCTTTCCGATTTCAGTTGAAGAACCAGATCTTGACACTCTTGACAGTATGTACCAGGCTCGGTCGCTACGCAGCAACTCGACATTGAAATATTTGAAAAACTTGTTTCCATATGCTTAGCCATAACCATATACAAGTCTGGTTGAATTAAACGTGCAGGTGGTAGAAATGTATACGCCCATTTGAAGAATGCGTACGCGTACAGATAAACGGTGTTCACGCACAGTTGCTCTGGTCGACTGTGTCATAAATTTCAGTCGATAGGCAAGTCGCCTGGCAGTGTAGTGCAGCAATGCAGAATTTGGTGTGATTCAGATAATTTTAATTTATTATAGGCACCATTCTATTAATCAATCACATTATAATTGGGAAAGGGAGAAATAAGAGGGATATTTTGTTTACTAATATTATTACATGGCATTTTGGAGACCTTTTGAAACGGAACAAACGAAATTTATATAATAAAATTGTTTGAGGACATAACTAATTAAAATATATTGTTTGTCAAATGAATATATAATAGAAATTTTCTACACATTATATACAAATTATTATAATTTTTTACCTTCAGTAGAAAACTTATTTAGGAACGCCTATGAACGTCATTAAATTTTATTAGGCGTTTGTTTACATGTTCAACTGACTTCGGAAAGACTATAAGTACATCTTTACATTGTAGTCATAAAGAAAGTTGTACAACTTTATTAACTGAATTAATTCAGTGTTTCTTTTTTTTTGAATGCAGTGTATTTTTGCAGTGCTAGTTGAATTTATTTTAGTCATTATATTTTTGACACATAATTTATTTTTACAGCAATAAAATGTAAAAACTAAATAAAACCTAAAAATAATAGGTTTTATTTATATCAGTAATTATAAAAATAAATAAAAATTGTTTCTGGGTTGATTATTTGAAAAACATTACTACTGGACAATTCGATTATCGTATTGTATTTTTGTTCCCTTGAAATTCACATAGTGTTAACCCGGAAATTGAGAAAATCTTATTCTATTATTTCTTCTCCAAGATCTTTATTCACTATCAATTGATATTCTTTCAAAGTCAGCAACCCCACCATCGTCACAACCCTTAAGTTAGCCCCACAAACTGCTGGATTTATGTGAGGGTTGTGAAGTTCAGCAATCTGGGTGGATGATGCAGTTGCAGGGTCCCCGCTTGCCGCCAATTGTCCCCACCAAAATTCGTTTTCAGGTAAAGCGTTGCCATCCCAAGAGTAAGACATCACTAGAAGATGACCTAAAAAATATTAAAAACAGAGATTTTACACATTTGTTCAAATCAGGTGAAATCATATAAACTCGATGGTTGCTTCTAAATTGTAAATGTATTCCTAATTTCTAAAGGCAGCAATATAATGGTTCATTGGACCTTACGTTATACCAGAGCAGTTAAATGGCCGAAGTTAGTTATACTTTTTAAGTAACGTGCTAAATAATTTACATAATGTCCCGCTGGAAATTCGGCGATGTATGTATCTTGATCATAGTGATCATTGATCGAAATGGTCCAGTTGTATGGTCTGCCTAATCACCAGATTTCAATCCTTGCAACTTTTATTTATGAATAGTTTGAAACAATTATTCCGCTCCAGTTAATTTGATTGAGAAATGACGAAAACGAATACAGAATGTCGCCAGAATAATCGCAACAATCCGGAAGTCCTAATAACAGTTAATAGTATATTACGTAATAAGTGTTGTAAAAAGCATTTTACGCACGAATGGGAATGGGAACAGTATATTACGTAATAAGTGTTGTAAAAAGCATTTTACGCACGAATGGAAAAGTTACGCACGACGCCGCGTAGCGGCGAGTGCGTAATTCTATGAGTGCGTAATTGCATTACGCCACGTATTACCACATATTACAACCATATGCGACAGTGAAAGAGAGGGAAATACATTGTAGGACAAAGAAGGAGATGCATCCCAGTTAAAACCCCGGGATGCTAAGACGACATCTATGTAAGAAAAGAACACTTCGGTCATCTTCGGCCGCTTTGCATCACTATTCGTGTATTGTCGAATAGGAGATCTTTCCGTGTTACTTTCCACAGCAACACCGCAATTGCAAATGTGAATGTGCGTTATTATTTACTTGATTTGATTTTCTTGTTTATTGTTGTTTATTTACGTGTGTTTAGTTTAAAGTGAGTGTTAGGAACGTTTATTTGTGAAATAAACATGAACTGTTCCTATCATAAGTGTAAAAATGCCTATCGGGCATGTAAAAAGGAAAACAAAGACATTCATTTTTTTAGATTTCCGCTGGACGAACATCTGTAAGTATTTTTAAGAAGTAATTAGTACAAACATACATAATTATTCTATTATTTACTGTTAGTTTTGTAATAATAGTTTTTCCTAATACCTAATCAGTTATCAAATATTTATAACCTTATTCATGGAAACTTAACCTGAATAGAGAATAGTCAGATACGTTTGTGTCGAACTACCTTTGAAATAATTTAATGTAAATATTTTATTTACCTACATGGTTTAATTTATTATTTAAAAGTTTATATATATCTTATTAAATTTAAAATAACCATGTGGCGCACTTATCTGAAAATAATAAATCTTATGAATTAATAATCATGTTTTTTATATGTAATATACATCCAGTAACAGTTATATATTTCCTCTGAGAATATTATATATTTTAACATAAAACTGGCTTAGTGTATGAATATTCATTGATATAGGAATAGTCGAAGTGAATTTTGATTTATTTGGATCAAATTATATTTTAATTTTTTTAAATATTATTTAATATAGAGTATTTTGTATTATAATATGTATTTATTTTATTATTATACTGTAATACAATATTTTATTATTATATACTGTTATTAGTAGGCTACCATTATAAATAAGAAACAAAAAATGTAAATAAATGCTGAAAATCACACGTGTTTTTTAATTCTTATATGTATATATATAACCGACATGTACTTTTGTAATGTTAACAAAAAAATGTAAACAAATTTAATTATAATTACACTCATTATTTTTGAAAAAAAAATCATATTTTCATTTGACAATAAACCAAGAAATTTTTTGTAAATATAAGTAATTTAAATTAAAAATGATTTAATATTTCATACATTACATTTTTCCAAATTATTTTGAAATTATTTAAATTGAATTACTTTCTCCATAATTTTATCAAAACTTAACGATCTATAAGGAAGGAATCAGTTGCCTATGTATTTTCCTCAATACTGAATCATTTTATCTCACTTGGCAACGCCGTGCATCCCAGTTAAAGGTCCAAGGTCATCGCGGCGAAATTGACCACATCAAAGAGCTGTCGCATATGGTTGTAATATGTGGTATTACGTACTATACTTTACCTACGACCACTACTAAACACACCGTCTGCGATCAATCTAAGATTCCTATTTTACGTACGGTAAAAAAATCACACAGCTTGGTAAAAAAATCGTACAGTTTTCCAAGCAACCGCCTAGCAACGGTCAATACAATACTGTTTGTATTGACCGTCGCTAGGCGGTTGCTAGGAAAACTGTACGATTTTTTTACCGTACGTAATAGGAATCTTACATTGATCGCAGATGGTGTGTTTTTAAGTATTTACAGTAGTGGTCGTAGGTAAAGAAAATTTTCAGTGCTGTGTAGGTACAATTATACCTTGACATTAACGGACGATTGTTTGACGTTTGTGGTAATTTAGTAAAATAGGTGTGAACTTACCGAAAAAACAGCAATGATTTCTTTTTTGTGAATAAAATGTTTGTAATTTCTTACTTTTGATTAATTTTTGGTTAACTTTATATCGAAATGTATTATTTTTTAGTAGTAACCGAATTAATTCCTCATCTTTTTGTTTATTAATCAATCCTAAGCATTTCGGTTTATGATCCAGTGGGGGTAATAAATATAAAATTTAAAAAAGTATTTTATCTTAAAATCTAAGGTTTCAAAAACAAAATTATATAAAAGTTGCTGCTTTTGATTTGTTGGTTAAAATGTTTTTTTTTTACTTTATCTGCAGGCTGTTGGGTACGGCTAAGAAGTTCTTACTCGAGTAACTCGCAAACAAATTTCAGGCAATTCCTCTAAATAAGTGAACATTTTAATATTAGGTAATCGAGCACACTCAGGCATGCTAAGTAAGTACGGCCCTGAATATGGCTTCGACTTCTGCGTAAATTCTTGAATTAAATTGAGTACTTTTTGTTGAAAAGTAGGGGATGGTTTATCGATTAATTAGGTTAATCCGCTGCCAGTAATAATTTTT